CCATTTGAAAACCACCTGTGAGTACTGGGCAACTGTTTTGTCCTTCAGCTGTACGCGCCCACCCAACGGGGTTCGAACCCACGTCTTTCTGGTTACAAGGCGAGCTAGCTCGTAGACCATTAAAAGCCACTAGGGACAGATCCAATGGCACGGCATAGCGCGACCACTAGCCAAGGTCATCAGCGGCGAGTATTTGTCCTCAAACCCGACCTGCCGTACTCTACTGGTCAGCAATTCTCACGACAACCCCAGGTAACTACCTAACTAACTGAAAAGGGCAAGTTGCTAATGAGTATCTCATTGATATTCAAGTGTTGGTTTGTAGGGATTTAGTTGACTGATTCACAGGATTTCATCATGAGCTGACATTAGTTAGAGGGTTTGAACCCTGGCGGTGGGTGCGTACTGATGAAGAGTTATGAACTAGGCTGACGAAACAGTTGTCCAGTACTCCCTGGCAGGTTTTCCAATGGTTCTCTTACCAATGTCAGCTCATGATGAAATCCTATAACCAGTCAAATACCTGCAAACCAACGCTTGAATAAAGTGTTTCTACAAGATTGTTTAAAACGTAGGAATACATATATATATATATATATATATATATATATATATTCCATACTGTGCGTCGGCGGCACAGCCGTAGAGTGCTTACCAACCAAATAGGCGGTTCAGGGTTTGATCCCCGGCCACCGACGAGGCAATCCTCTTTTACTTCGCTAAGTCAGTAGTAAGACTGGTAAACGGGGAAGGTTAGGGGGTGGCATGAGGCCGGCTAGCAACCCTATCCTGTAAAAATAATAATCATCACCGCTACAGAAACTTCAAACCTCTAGGTTAAAGTCCTATTGTGGTGACAACTGGCGGCTAGCCAAATCGGTAGACAGTAATTTACGTCAATGTTTTTGTCCTAAATACTGTTCGTGAGAAAAATAAGAACAAAGACTTTGCGTAGGCGGATACAGTTAACATATAGATGATCTGACATTCAAGAAACAGCCACAAAGAGATGATAGATTAACATTCAGTGAGAAATAATCAGTCAGAAGACTGTGTTGTTTTTCTGCTAACAATAATCTATAATAATGTACATGAAAATCTATAAATACGTGTTGATTTCCTTAGTAAACGATCTGTTGCCTGGACCTTGTCTTCTGTTGTTCCACTGTGTTCCACTGAGGGAACGTACAGGAGTAAAAAAAAATATATTCCATCCTACTGATTATGTCATAAGCGTACTAGTCAGTTAAATGGACTACATATTTTTCTAGCTCGTTTATGGATTGATGATTGATTCAGAGAGTTGTTGAAAATCAGCAAGGAGTTCTGGACAGTGGTTTCGTCCTAGTTTGTGGCCCTTCATTAGTACGCAACCACTTCTTCACCGCCAGGGGTCGAAACTAAGAACCTTAAGGTTACAAGACCAAGCTCATTGACTATTCCTCAACTTGGATCACAGTTCAATGGCCTATGTATTCTAATTTTGATCAACATGTGATTTTAATACGAGTACCAGCCAATTTCGTCGGTGTGACTTGACATCAATCTGTGATTAAACGTAGCCCCAATCAAATTCCTATAAAGTAACTCTTGAAAATTAATCTGCTCCATGAAAGCGACTGGCTACAAGAGGAGATTATCTGAGGTTCTAGTGAGAAGTTGTGACTAATGTGGTTCACCAAGTTGGGCGAGAGGATAGGTACTCGCTAATGACATTGGCTGGTTGTCACGATAAAATCAGAAAATTGCCAGAAGTTGGAATTATTTATGTACCATCGGATTGGATCACATTCATAGAATGGTGTATGAGCTTCCTTTGTCACTATAAGGTGTTGGATTAAAACCCCGGTTGAAATGTGTATACTACTTTTGAATGGATATAAGTAATACATCATTCAACTACAAGCGATCCGGATAGGGATATTAAAGCCAGTCAGGATCGAAAATGGAAGACAGGTGTTCTTTTAAGTGAAGTCTACTGAACGCTCCACTGTGAAAGAATTTTCATCAGGCCACTGCCGACTTTCATCATCAGTAGGTGCCCGCTTTGGCTCCATCAGCGACAAAACAACTCTCACAGGCAACGAACCAACCAAGAACCTGTTACCCAATAGATATGCTGAAAAAGTGCAGATAAATTGGACACACAATGGGCAGGCCCTTAAGTGACATAAGTGAGATCATATGGAGGAGGGGAACTGGAGTTTAGCGGCGTTTGTGAAACCAGCCAAAAGAAGACTGCAGACGTCTGCTGTGGAGATTTCGACTTTGGAATATCTGCGGGAAGTGTCGGATGCGTGATTATTGTCGACAGAGTTTCGATTCTACCAGCTTGTTGGACATGTTCTTCTTGATGCTCTCGCATTTCTTACGTTTGATTTTGGTTGCATAATTTTATCGTATAGTACTTGTTTTGTACAGCTGACTAACGCTATTGCAAGTGGAATTACTCATTTCTTTATATGTCATTATAGTTTGAACACGTCCTGAGATTTTATCAAAAATAACTGGCGTTTTACTGTCGTCAGAAGCTTTTAGAACTGTCCGTAGCTCAGGAAGTTTCGGTTAGCTATATAGTAGAATGCAACAATTAGTTTTTTTGCGTTCAGATCACAACATATCGATTGCAGATGCTGCACACAGGATAGGATAAAACGACGATGTCGTTTAGAAGCCCTACATCTCAATACAAATCTTTGTATGCTGAGCGGAACATACGGTTTGTCAACAGCACATTTTCACTATTCCTGGTTCCCCGTAATTACTTTCAACCGGCTCCACCATCACTGCTCACAGACTTTTATTCTCCCTTCATATGATCCCCTTCAATATTATCCTCGGACCCATAGCTTCTCACTCTGATGAAATCAACTTTGTTAAGTATGCCGATGATCTAACTGTTTCAATGTTTGTTAACTCCCAGTTAGACTGTACTACGATGAAAAGCTTCCTATCAGGAATTAGCAAGTGGTCTTCGTCTAACGGTCTTAAACTAAATCCTTCCAAATGTCAGACTGTCAACTTCAGTTTCCGATGTAAAAGAAAGTTAAATGATTTTGATTTTTGATTTACAGCTTGATTTCACACTGTATTTTTGGTACAAGTATGGAATTTTCAGCATGGATATCGGTAGCCCAAATTTTGCAGGCCGACCATAGATATCAGGTGTGCGCCGGCGTGGGCTCGAACCCCGGACCATGTGCATGGTCGGCGAGAGTCCTAACCACTGGTTCCTATGACCCCTGCAAAATTGATGATACTGATATAGAAATCAAGTCTGAAGTTAAGTATCTTGGATTAATTCTTTCTTCTGACTTATCCTAGTCTTCCCATATCTAAGCGATTTCGAAAATAAAATATTTCGTCTGACTTTTTACATTAATAAGTTAAGGCATTCAGGCATAACTCAATGAACCCTACCTCCTCTTACAGTTTGTCAACTCGTGCATCTTACCTATTCTTCTCTACTGTTCACCCTTGCTTATTCTTTCCTAGATTGCTTAAAAAGGACTATGTCATACTTCGTAGAACTCTGAAGACTGACTGTCATTAGGACGAATGGTATCCCATTGGGCCATATTGTTTATTTTTTTCATAAGTGTGAACATCATTTAAGCTGTGTTATGTAACTAATAATTTTGTATTTCCCCTCGCCATGCTGCTATATCAGCAGAACATTAGATTCAATACACTATAGTAACATGCTAAAATTTCCTAACTGAATCGACAATACTGTTTGAAACAAACTCACTGTTATTATTATTATTGTATTTATTATTCTCATTTTGTACTTCGAATATTTTTGACTTTATATCGTAAACGTGGACAAATGTTTCTGGTTAATTTTGTTCCAATTTTTAATTTTATTTATATTAAATTAAGTAAATCAGATGCTAGGTGTTGTGACAAATGGTGAGAATTCCATTCTGTATTATAAGTACTGTTCGTCTTGGAATAAATTAGATTGTTATTATTATTATTATTCTCATTCGGATTCTATTCGGCAACCAGCATGTGATGACAGTTGAATTTCTCCTCAGAGTATCCCCAATCCATCTTCATTTCTTTGTGCATTTGTGTTGGGCAACAGATTCATGATGACCAACACTTATTCAAGTGAGGAGGTCCATTCACATTACATAGACAAGACGGAGGTTATGGAAATAACCAATCAACAACAATAACAGCAGCAACATCCATCCAGCAGCCAATCACCAACAACGGGAGGGATTTGAAAGAGGTTGCCTCATTCACTTATCATCTAGGGAGCATTGTCTCAACTACAAGCAGTCGGAAGGGACGAGGATGTCAAATCGAGCGAGAATCGGGAAGGCGAGCGAGAAACACATTCATCAACCTGAAATCAATCTGGAAATCTTCGTCACTCAACTCAGCATCAACAACAAAATTCGGTCGGATTTTCAATACAAACAACGTCAAGTCAGTCAGCTCTTCTTTACGGATCAGAAACGTGGCTGATTGGTCACAAAGAATATTTCCACCAACAGCATGTTGCAGACCTTTATCAACCAACAACTGTCTTCGCTGGCTCTATACTGAAGATCAGATGGCCGGGCCGGAAAGAATCACCGACAAGAAACTATGGGAACAAACAAACAAAACAAGAACCAATCACCCAACCAACAAATATGCAGGAGAAAGTGGAGATGGACTGGACACTCGCTGAGAAGGCCACCGCTGGGTGACATCGCGCGAGCGTCAGGCCATTGCTCGAATGGAACCCGACAGCATAGAAAGTGGCGAGTGGGACGTCAGTGCAAGGGTGACATGGAGGAGATCGTATGAAGAGGAGTTGAAACACAGTATGGATTAACATGGATGCAAGTGAAAAGTACAGCAGAAGGAAGACAGAAGTGGCAAGTGGAGACGTGCAGCTGAAGCCCTATGTTCCACACTAGGAACCCAAGGGAACAACAATAATAATTCATTCACATAGGTAAATGAACAATAATAATAAGAAGAAGAAATCGATCACTTACACTGGTTTACTAACTTCTACAGATTCTGTTCTCTTTCGATCAGGTGTACAATCCAACTCTACAGCACAATACAACTTTTTTGTACGAGGTAGATTATGAATATTTCTCACTTGATGAACTAATATCTAAAAAAAATATTAGATAAAAATGAAAGGAGAAAAGAAGAAAACAAGATTTAGTTATCTAGTTACCACCATCAATTTTAATGAAATATTTGAGTAATACAAAGATGAGGTTTACCAATTATGAAGCAATACAAGTTAATAATAAAGACATTCGACACTGTGAACCATAGTCAACGATTACACCTGATGTGATATTCAACAAAGAGGAAGTGAGGTATATCATTGTGGTATACTGAAATGATATCATTCTGTTAAGATATTTCAATTTTGAAAGTGTCAACGACTTCGAATATTAAACAGTATTGCAAAACGGTCGTTCTATGTCGTGGATTGGCAGAAGTTAGAATTCATGGACTGGCTATTGGATGCGGTCCCAGTGGCTCAATGGTCTACGAGCCCGCTAGCCTTGTAACCAGAATGTTCTGGGTTTGAACCACGGTGAGTAAGTGCGTACTGATAAATAGTCCCAAACTAGGCTGACGAAACAGCTGTCCAGTACTCCCTGGCAGGTTTTCCAGTGGTTCTCTAACTGATGTCAGCTCATGACTAAATCCTCCATGCAATATTAAATATTCCCATAGTAAACTTTAGAACAACACACTTAAGTGAACAATATTGTTGTTTTCAATTAGATCTCATCACGGGCTTAACTCTAATATCACTAAATAAGTTTACAAATAAAAATTCAAATATATTAACCAATCATGGTGTTTTGTCTATAGGGTAATAAGATGGTGAATATAAAACCTGCATTTAGTCATAATAATAGTAATGATAATAATAATAATAATGGTTTTATCATTAATAAGGATGAAAAGTGAGGCGATCTGTTATAACACGAATGATGAAAAACAGTATGATTAAACAAACAAAGCTCCAGGTGTAAGTCGTCGATAAAGGCTGGTAAAAACAAATGAACCGATTAAGTAATGCTAGATTGTAAGGGAAGCTGAGAAAATACGTTTTTAATGAAGAATCGATTAAGAGAGGGGTCCAAAATATAAGTAACGGGTGGTGGAGATGGCATCAGTTAGTTGGTTTGGTCTTAAAATAGGCCAACAAGAAAGGGATAATGGCTGTACAAACTTCTTTTGAATGCATAGTTCAGGTTTAATAGTTGGAATGCCTATCACCTCACCTGTGCAGTAGACGAATACGATGTCTATTGGAAAGATTCGGTGGGATAGGATGAAGTACTCTGAAGGCTCTCGTATTCTCCACTACATGACCACTATCAATTAAATGTGACAAGATGGAGCCATGGTTTGTTTTCATCCGTCCTTTGCCAAACCATCACGATGGGAGATGTTCATTAACACGTTGGCTAACCTGTCTAGTAGTACGCCCAATATAACTGTCACCGCAGGTGCAGCTGAATTTGATAAATGCACATGGATGTGGCGAAACTATCAAGCTTATCCTTCGTTTGCGTCCCAATCACTCGTCGGCTAGAGAATGACACACATAGGTGTGCTGCATAAAATGTTCTACGTATACTCCTTGAAAGTCTTTGGAATAGAATCTCACCTGATAAGTCACCATTAAATTGTAACTTAATAAATAGAGGTTTCTTATGTGCAGTCAGAGTCACAGGTTTCTTCTCTGATGGTTTCATATGTTTCTTTATGAAACCACTTGGATAACCCATCTCCGTCAGGGAATCGTGAATATATTCAAATTCCTTTAGTAAGAGCTCATCCGTATATATCTTTCTTGCTCTGCTAGTAAGACATTTTACAACATTCCTTTTATATATAATGGCCACGTAACTAAAGGAGTGTGTGTATTACCCTGTGAATGTGACCCATCTTCTCGCCTACTTATCAAAACTTCCAGGAAATGTAGTTTATTCTCCTGCTCCTCTTCACAGGTAAAGGTAAGCGAAGAGTGGATGTTGTCGAATTTAAGTAACAATTCGTGTATGTTAACATTCTCACCAGCTAAGATAAATGTATCATCGACATATCGGTAATACATATAAAACTCCTTGATGGTATCCTTCAATTTCCCGTTTTCAAGTTTCGCGAGAAAGAAGTCAGCTAATATTGGGCCTAATGGTGAACCACCCATCCATAGCTATTCCATCTACTTGTCGATAGTATGAATTATTGAAGACAAAGTGAACATTCATTGTGCATTTGAGAAGTAATTCTTTGAGGCTACTCAAGGGAATTCCTAAGTCCAATTGCCTATCGGTGATTTCTTGACAAATATAATCAACTGTTTCCATAAGCGGTACGTTAGTGAATGGTGATGATACATCCATGGATAACATGCGTTTATATCTCACAGTAGTATCGAATATTTTAGAAATAAAGTTAAAGACATCACTAAATCGATATTGCACGATTTCTCTGTGCAAAGGACCCAGAATCTTAACTAACCACTTCGCTGTTCCGTGAAATGGAGAGTTATACGTATCTAAAACAGGGCGAAGAGGAAGACCTGGTTTTTACACTTTGAGTAAATCGTAATGACGTGAAGTATTGGTACCCGTTGGTTTTATGGACTCATATGTGCCAAAGGAAGTAAATATGGATCAAACACACGCTAAGGAAACCATCAGGTGGAATCGCACTCCAGCTAGGTCCTCGAATCGCACCCGAATAGGGGAACAGTTAGTTGGGTGTTAGTCCGAGAGTGACATAAAGGAGATCGGGAGTTCAAGAGGGGGAGATGAGAGACTGTGGGCAATCGTAGGACGAGCTAAAGATAACCACAGATAATAGGAAAAAGTGGAGATGTGCGTCGTTGGCACAGTGGCTAGGACTCTCGCCGACCATGCACATAGTCCGAGGTTCGATCCCCTGCCGACGCACACCTGATATCTATTGTCGGCCTGCAAAATTTGGGCTACCGATATCCATGCTGAAAACTCCATACTTGTACCAAAAATACAGTGTGGAATAAAGCTGTAATCAAAACAAAAAAACAAAGCCCTATTTTCCACACAGAACCCAGGGGAGCAGAAATAATAATCATACATAGATAAATTTATTCCTAATGGAAAACAGAACTTCAGCTGTACATCTCTGCTACACGTGATTACTTGCTATCATTTCAGCTGACTCCATCACTGTTCACAAGCTTTTATCTGTCGCTCTCTGTCTCTTTCACGCGATCTTCTCCATGTCAACCTTGAGTACACGCCCAATCCGTCGCCTCACCTTCAGGGTTCTCTCAATAGACTGGCATGGGATGTCAATCAATCGTCTACTCAACGTATATCTAGATGTCATTTTACTAGGGGATATTCATCAATACGCCTTCTATCACACTTAATGAGATAATTAAATACACTGGTGGAAGTGTACTTAAACGACTTATGTGCTAAATAACCCATTGATAGTTTCAACGTAAAAAGCTTTCGTGTTGCGTAATTTGAATGATATTTCACCATTCTGAACAAAAGTTAATATTTTCAAAATGATGGATACTGAACAAAGAATACTCTTTTCGATAGCCCCTTCATCCTCAAGCTCCACAATTATTTATATACATTATAGTGTATGAATGAATGAGTTAGTGTTATGAACAACATTAATGCAGTTTAAATAAACGCGAATTAATAATATCAATAGATTACAGTTCAACAGCATCAACAAAACAATACACTGAATATCAGACCGACAAACTAGGAAAGATAAAAATACAAATTCATGAATTTATAGTCTCTACTGAAGGCCGGCCAGGGCAGTAGTAGTGGCTGACTGGACTTGTTTCTTTTGCACACAGAGCACTGTTTACTTCACGCGGATTGCAATAGCCTGTGCTGTTTAGAGCATGCGGTGCTTCGATGATTTTGGCAATTAATTAGGTACCCGGTAGATTATAGAGGAGGATTCTTCTACGCTGGTTTTGAGGCCGGTTTGCACCAGATGTCCCAATATCGAACTTTTAATGGTTTTCACTACACCTTTACTTAGCCATAGTGGGAGATGTTCTCGAGAGAGAGCACGAAAAATCAAGTTCCTAGACCAATGGCCGATATAACTCGCTCCACCACAGGCGCAGTTGAATCGGTAGATACAATTTGAAGTGGCTAGTCTTGGTACTTCATTTTTCAGTCGAGGTAGCACCATCGGTCATGTAGAGAATAATAAGACGTGTAGTTAGTGTTGTTCATAACACTAATTCATTCCTTCACTATAATGTATATATATAACTGTAGAGCCTGATGATGAAGGGGTTATAGAAAAGAGTATGCTTTGTTCAGTATCCATCATTTTGAAAAGTTAATATTGTGAAATATCAAATTATCAGTATAGACACCAAAAATTACTTCCTTCCAGAAAAGTACATTAGCTCAGCTAAAATAAAATCCATCCCCTTATCAATGACACCCAAGTAATCTCGTAGTGAACAAGTTTTATTTACAAGTTTAATTAACTACGAGCTGACATCAGGTAGAAAACCACTGGAAATCCAAAGAGTTTTAGAATATAAACAAATACTAGATTGGATTATTAAAGATGTACAAATTAATAAAGATATCGTGAACACAAATAACCATTTGCCTACGCCAACAAAGTGTACAACGATTAAACGACAACACGCAATGAGGTGAGGCAGAAGAATAGGATATTTACAATAAGGAACAAAAACAAAGAATGTATACATGTGCCAATGACGTAGGCGGCAGAAAGGATAATCTATCGGTTATCTGTTTACTCATCTATGCGAAAATTGATTGGTTCATTTTCCAGACAAGTTATCGATCCATAATATCAGAGAATACTGGAAGGATGTTTCGTCCCAGTTCTGCGACACTTCAGTAGTACATACCCATCAGGGTTCAAACACAGGAACTCCACAGAACATTCAACCACTGGGGCTTGATCCAGTAGCTCATGGAATAGGATAAAAGCAGCTAGCTATCAAGTACTCCCTGATTTTCGCGTGGTTCTCTAACTGATACCGATGCGTAATGAAACTTGCAGGCAGTTAAACCCCCGGAAAACCAACACTTGACAGTGAGCTTTATCATTTTTTGAAATTTTTGAAGCCATACTTTAGAATGATGTATATCCGATATGATCTGATATCAAATGAATGAATAAATAGGTTCAACTATGTAGATAACATATGCATCAGTGGTTTCAGTAGAAGAATGCTTCCCATCCCCACATGTTGTGGTGAGAGCAGGCTGCTAGACAATTGGTAGAAATTAATTTACGTCAATGTCTAGGTCACTAATATTGGCCGTGAGAAAATATGAACAAGGCTGATTTAACAACCAATCACAGCAGACTTAACATGGGCAAATAAGATTCGCAGATATATGGCTTAACTTTCCGAGAAACCAGAAACAACCAATCAGAAGACTGTGCTTGTCTGCTTGAATGAGCTATAATAATGCACATGAAATATATATAAATACATGCTGATTCCCGTAATAAAATGGTCTGTTGCCGGCCTTTGTCTTCTGTTGTTACAATGTGATCTACGTCCGATTCCTGGTACACCGGTTAGGACTCTTGCCGACCATGCACATGGTCCGAGGTTCGTTCCCCTGTCAACACACATTTGATATCAGTGGTCGGCCTGCCAATTTCGGCTATGAATATCACATGCTGAAAATGCCATTATTATTATTTCCTTTAATTCCTGGAGGAACATATGGCTTCAGCCGCACACGTCTCCATTGCGTTCGGTTCTCTGACAACCTTTTCAACTGGCTACATGTCTGCCCATATGCTTTCATCTTCCCTTCACATCATCTCCTCCATGTCACCTTCTCACTGACAACCAACTCGCCGCTTCCGTTCGGGTTATACTCCAGCGTGTGATGTTGCTTGATGATTTTTTTCTCAGAGTATGGTCAATCCAGCCACTTCCATTTATTCCTGCATACTTCTTGCACAATCGGCTCCTGCTGGGTTGGTTCGCTCACATAGATCCCTCCCTGTTGCTGACCTACTCCGGCAGGTCATCTGATGTTAAGTAGTAATGAGCGAAGAGAGCTGTTGATTAAGGCCTGTAGTTTGTTTGAGGTGCTGTTCATGAAGCGGCGCCAAGTCTCTGATTCGTATAGTAAGTAGTATTGACTTCACATTGGAGTAGAAAATCCGGATCTTCTTTTTCCTACTGAGTGTTGTTGATCTTTCTCCACACAGATTTGAGAGAAATGAAAGCTTGTCTTGTTTTCCAGATCCTCGCTGCTTTGATATCCTCATCGGTTTCGTCAACTTGTGGTTGAAATGGTGCTTCCCAGGTAGGTAGGCAGGTAGGTAAAGGAGATTGTTTCCTTCATGTTCCTCCCATGTATGCTGATTGTTTTCTGTTGCTGTTTCTGTTGGCCAGGAGTCTTCATCACCTACCTCCGTTTTCTCTACGTTCACCAGAAGGACCTTTCGCTTTTCACTAGCATATCTTCCGGTTTGTGAGCAATCAGACGTATATCATCGGCAAAGTCCAGATCCTCCAAGGGTTTTTGTGTGGGTCCATTTTATGCCTGTTTCCTCACTGCGCGGCCTACTGTCTGCTGCATTATCCAGTCCACCAAAATCAGGAAAATTATTGGAGACAGTAGGCAGGCTTGTCTTACTCCAGTCTTTAGTTTTTAGGATTCTGTAAGTTTCCCGTTGTAGATTACTTGTCATGCAGCATTGTCGTACAACTGTTGTATGAGATGTATAATTGTTGGCAGCACCTCTTGATAGTAGCGAATTAGTTTACAAATCACCTCTCGATCGACGCTGCACTATCGAAAGCCTTTTCAAAGCCTATAGAGTTGAGTAGGGTAGACAGAGGCGACTACCATTTCCAATCTCTGTTCAATGATGATCCTCAGTCTTGCAGTTTGATCAATGCATGACTTGTTTCTCCTGAATCCAGCCTGTTCCTGTCCACACTATACTTGTACCAAAAAAATTCTGTGTGGAAACCAGCTATAATCAAAAATTTAAAGAAAACCTAGCCCATTTTACCAGCAGGGAGTGGATATGAGGTTGGCAAACCAGCTGCATAAGAACAATACCATCGCTTTTCGAACTTGTGAAGGAATTAAAGCTCCATATTCCACTGGAAAGACAAGGAATGCAAGACAAAAATAATCTAGATAACACAAAGAAATATTTCAAATCGCATTCCATTACCATTCAACTGAATAATACCATCTTACTTACTTCAATCGTTGAACAAATTTGCATAGCTTCTTTTGGAATTTCATGATTTGTTAACATTGAAGAAGACGGTACACTTTCATTCAGTGAATGAATATCATCTGCCAACGATAAAGATGATCTTGATGAACCCAGCTCTAATTGTCTTGACCACAGATCTGATGTTGAACCTGTAGTGTCATGATCTGATCGACTAGATCGTGTATCATTGATATGCCAATTAGCCAGGATACTTTTTATTGGATGTTTTCTCAGACGTCTATGCACTGTACTGACAGCAGTTGAATGAGTTTTCATTACCGGGATTGAATCCAGACGTCGCATTAATCCATTCACCCTGAGTTTTTCTTCCTCAATGTACTGCATTTCCATTTCTTTATGTACCATTTTAGGGAATGAACGTTCCTTTGTTAGATAATTAAAAGAAAATTATAGTGCAATAATGTGTGTATGTGTGCATGTGTGTGTGTGTGTAAAACTTAGGCAATCTGATTGTACGTAATTCTACATTAATTTCCATATCCGACATTTCACTCACACACAGCAACATTTGCTGGATGCCGTTTCTGGCAAAATTTATTGTTCACAATTATTCATTTTTTTATAGTTCCTGTTCTCTCATGTGACATTTTAATAGAAGCTTTAATACTGAATAATTATCCGGAAAAATTATTCAGGTAGTATATACAGAATAAGAATGATAATAGTGAGGGTGATATTATATTATTATATTATTATCATTACTCTCTTGGGTTTCGAGTGGAATATTTCAGGGCTTCAGCATTACATCTCCACTTTCAAGTGTTGGTTTGTAGGGATTTGATTGGTTAAAGGACTTCATCATGTGCTGACATCAGTTACAGAAATATTGGAAAACCTGTCAAGGAGTACTGAACAGCTGTTTCTTCAGCCTAGTTTATGACTCTTCAACAGCACACACTCACCGGGGTTCGAACCCACGTCCTTTTGGTTACAAGGCGAGCTAGGTCGTAGACCATTAAGCCACTGAGACTCGATCCAATGGCCAGCCCATGAATTCTAACTTCGATCAATTTATGACATAGCGCGACTGCTAGCCAATGTCATCGGTGGCGAGTATTTGTCCTCGCACCCGACCAACACTTGAATATCAATGAAATGCTCACTAGCGACTTGACCATTCAGGTTAATAGCTGCCTGGGGTTCTAGTGAGAAGTCGTGACCAGTAGAGTGCAGCAGGTTGGATGTGAGAACAAATACTCACCGAAGACATTGGCTAGTGGTCTCGCTATGTCGTGAATTGGCAGAAGTTAGAAATTAAGGAGCAGTGGATTGTGTCCCAATGGCTTAATGGTATACGAGCTCGCCTTGTAACCAGAAAGTCCTGGGTTCGAACCCTGTGCGACGGTGGGTGCGTACTGTGAAGAGTCCAAAACTAGGACGAAACAGCTGTCCAGTACTCCCTGGCAGGTTTTCCAGTGGTTCTCTAACTGACGTCAGCTTATGATGAAATCCTGTAACATCGCCGCTTTTTTCTGTCCCCTGCTCTCCTCTTCAGCTGGGTCCATGATTTCCCATAACGTCTCATCTCCTGCAACTCGCTCGATCTCTTACATGTCACCGTCGCACTGACGACCCAATAGTCGTCTCTCATTCGGATTCCACTCGAGCGATGGCCTGCGTTGCGAGCGATGTCATTCCACGGCCTCCTCAGTGGCCTATGCCCAATCCATCTCCATTTCTTCCTACATATTTGTTGAGCAATCGGCTCTAACCTGTGGGTTTGTTACCAGACAGAGTTTCTTGCTGCTAATTCTCGCTGGCTGGCAATTTGATCTTCATTATGGATCCAGAAAAGTGAGCAGCTGTTGATAAAAGTCTGCAATCTGTTGAAAATCCCCTTCGTAACACGCCGGCAAAGTTACTGACCTATGTAGAAGAACAGATTTGACATTGGTGTTGAAAATGTGAATCTTGTTCCTTATGGTGAGAGAAGTAGAAGATTTTCAAATAATAATAATAATAGCTTTATTCCAAAAACTGGTCTCAAGTTGATGAACGCGTATCGGGAAGGGGAGATGCGCCTTCATCAACCTAAAATCGGTTTGGAAATCTTCTACACTTAGTCAGCACAAAAAGCCAAGACTCGCATTTTCAACACTAATGTCCAGTCCGTCAGTGCTTCTCTAAGGGTCAGAAACTTGCACTGCGTGTTACGAAAAAGATTTCCAACAGGTCACTGCAAACTTTCATCAACAGCTGTGTACACCTCGCTGGCTGGCTGGCTACATACTGAAAACCAAATGGCCAGTTGGCCAGTTGGCCGGTCAGAAAGAATAAGCAACAAGAAACTGTGACTAGAAACAAACCAACACAGGCGAAAGCCGATCGCTCAACTAATATGTAGGAAAAAATGGAGATGGATCGGGAATATGCCACTGATGAGGCCACCGAATGACACCACGCGCAAATCAGGCCATCGCTCAAGTGGAATCCCATTGGGAAGCGACGAGTAAGTTGTCACTTCGAGAGGTATATAGAGGAAGAGATGAGAAATTATGGGCAATCGTGAACCCAGCTGAAGAGGATGGCAGAAAAAAATAAGAAACATGGACATGCATTGTTGAAGTCCTATTATGTTCTACTCGAAGCCCACGGGAATAATAATAATAATAAATGATAGGTAATTCAAATTTCATTATATAATAAATAAAGAGCGCTTACTTTATACATTCTGTCTATCTGTAGTAAACGTTCTGATAATTCCCGTTTGATTTGAGAGGCTTGTTCATCTACACTATCAAGCTGTGAATTAATTAATTAAATAAAACAAAATAAAAAGGAATTATCATGTTTCTTACTAAAAATGTGTTATACATATATATATATTATTTTTTATTATCATTATATCCTTTAATTCCTAGAGGAACATAGGCCTTCAGCTGCGCGCCTCCATTGCCTTTGGTTTTCTGCCAACTTTTTCACCCCGCTCCAAGTCTGCCCACACGATTTCATCTCCTCTTCACGTGTCCTCCTTCAAGTCACCCTTGCACGACTAACTTCCCGCTTCCCTTTCGGGTTCCACTCGAGCAATAGCTTGTCTAGTGATGACACTTGATGGTTTCCTCAGCGTACGGCCAATCCATCTCCATTTCTTCCTGCCTATTTGTTTCACAATCGGTTCCTGATTGGTTCGCTCACAGAGATCCCTGTTGCTGATCTTTTCTGGCTAGCCATCTGATATTGAGTATTGAGCGAAGATAGCTGTTGATGAAGGTCTGAAGTTTGTTTGAGATGCTCTTTATGACGCACTGGCCAAGTCTCTGATCTGTATAGTAGAACTGACTTCACATTGGAGTTAAAAATCCGAATCTTATTTTTCATGCTGAGTGCTGTTGACCTCCATACAGATTTGAGAGTAATGAAAGCTTGTCTTGCTTTTCCGATTCTGGCTTTGATATCCTCGTCAGTTCCGCATGTAGTTGAAACGATGCTTCCCCGGTAGGTAAAAGAGGTTGTTTCTTTCAGGTTCCTCCCATTCATGCTGATTGTTGTCTGTTGTTGTTGTTACTGCTGGTGTTGGCCAGGAATCTTCATCATCTCTGTTTTCTCTATGTTCACCTGAAGGATGTCCTATCTTTGATGCTTCTTCTTCTGTCAACTTGTTGCTTTTCACTTGCATATCTTACAGTTTGTGGGAAATCAGACATATATATATATGTTATGAGTGAAATCCACATCCTTCAAGTATTTTTATGTGGGTCCATTTTATGCCCGTTTCGTCGCTGCCCTCTGTCTGTCACATTATCCAATCTACTGCAATCAGGAAGATCATTGGTGATAGTAGGCAGCCAACTTTTCTTACTCCCGTCTTGACTTCAAAGGATTCCGTATGTTTTCCATTGTGGATTACTTGGCATGCAGCGTTGTCGTACAACTGTTGTATGAGATGTATAATTGTTGGCAGCACCTCTTGATAGTAGCGAATTAGTTTACAAATCACCTCTCGATCGACGCTGCACTATCGAAAGCCTTTTCAAAGTCGATGAAGTTGAGTAGGGTAGACAAAGGCGACTACCAATTCCAATCTCTGTTCAATGATGATCCTCAGTGTTGCAGTTTGATCAATGCATGACTTGTTTTTCCTGAATCCAGCTTGTTCCGGTTGAAGTTTTTCATCTAGGGCTTGTTTGATTCTCTCCAAGATGATTTGGCTTAGTATTTTGCTTGGGATGGACATTATATATAAGTACTGATAAATCTCTCATTCGAATAACCTGAAAACGAATTAAAGCAAAGAAAAGCAGGGATGAACAGATGTGAGGTAGCCACCAAAAAGATTCCTACTGCTGAGCTGTGAATTTAAAGTGACACAATTAGGCAGAAATTCTCAGGAAACGAGGCTTTCAAAACGTCACAGTAAAACATAACCTACTGTTATTTATTGTTCAGATAATATTTTATCGTTGTAAGAAACTATTCTCATTCATTACATAAAAGACAAACTGTTGGTATTAAACGGCTGGAGGTGATCAGCTACCAGGAGCTTGACTGATAGAATTCAGGCTGCACTGAAGATGAGACTAGACACATTATACTAGTTACTGATTAGTGTCCAACAAAAAAGACAAACTGTCTCATGGAGCCAAGTCACCTGACCACTGTAGATTTGAATACACTGGCTGTATTGTATGTCTCCTTTAAAATGCGTTCAAGAAACACCAGCCAGCTTGGTTGATGAAAACAGAATAGAAGTGTGTCATTAGTTTGACAATGAAACATTTTATAGACTAAAGAGACCGAGATTCTTTTTCTATTCCTTGACGTTCCCCTAGTGGAACATAGGGGGAGCTTCAAGCTAGAGGTTTGGAGTTTCGGTGGCAGTGGTGTTTATTTTCACGGGACGGGGACGCTAGTCGGTGGCGTCGTGTGTGCGTCGGTTGCACAGTCGTTAGGACTCTCGCCGACCATGCACATGGTCCGGGGTTCGAACCCACGCCGACGCACACCTGATATCTATGGTTGGCCTGCGAATTTTGGGCTACCGATATCCACGCTGAAAATTCCACACTTGTACCACAAATACGGTGTGGAATCAAGCTGTAACCAAAAAATAAAAAAAATAAAAATAAAATAAAAAATAAATAAAACAGTCAGCCCCATGCCCGACCTTCCCTCTTTACCAGTCTTGCTATTGGCTTAGCGAAGTAAAGGAGTGCGACGGTGGCCGAGGATCGAACCCCGGACCACGTGAGGCGTGGTTGGCGAACATTCTACCGCTGTGCTACCGACGGGCAAAGACACCAAGATACTCGTTAGAAATCCCTTAAAATTGTATCCAGTAAACGAACAAGCCTCTTTATTAACAGCCTGAGATCAAGACATTTACGAAATAGCTTAAACATTAGCTATTCAGAAATTCAAACCAACACTAATTATGTGAAAGAAATACATTCAACCTATATCTTTGCCACTGACAACATAATTAATGAATGAATGAATGCATGAACCTGAGTGAAGCGAGAACAGTTAACTGAGCAGAATAATATGGTATTACATTCGTGATTCACAAATTTGTCTTTGTGATACCATGAATAGTAATCAAAAAAGCCACATTCTACTGATAGAATAAAATGTTTATGGAAAATTCCCATTGTAACATGTAGAAAATCAAAACAAGTGGTGATTCAGTAAAGAGATTCTCTCCAACATCAAATTTATCATCAAGCTGTACAATATGGTTTTTAAGAAGTTATATCGGGTGAGGGAATTCAATCGTAGATGTGAATACATAAAATAATAATAATAACAATAGTAGTATGAAATGCAATTAAAAACTAAAATGTTTGTGATTATAATCATAATTAAATATCATATATAGAATAATTCATAGGATGGATAGAACTTGGAAAGCGTGTGCAATTATAGGATTAGTAGGTAGAACCGTTACGTAATATTGCGTGAAATTCGACAACACAGAAATTAAAGTTGCAAAACAAAATTGATATAGAATGACAAGTGGAAAAAGTGAAATAATACCGGGGACAGTTCAAAGTGGGAATAGTAATAGTAACAACTGACGTAATGGAGGAAGAGTATACAAATTGAATAGACAAAAAATTGGTAGAGCCGAAATATGATTAGGGATTACCATACTTTTTAGCATAGAGGGATGAAGACCATGAGAGTTGGAGGGGTTGAACGAACTTTTTCTGTACACAGAGATCTGGCTTTTCTGTTTCGATAGCCGAAGATGGCTTCAGGAGTACAGATGAGTTGGGTACGTAGGGATTTGGGTAAATTACCTTTTGCCTTGTAGATTATTTTAAAGACGGAGGCTATAGAGACAGTTGCTTACCAATCACATCAACTAGTAATACTCGCTAGTGACTTAAACACCAGACATCCGTTTCATTTCTTTGGGGCCAAAATGAAAAGACTGGTATTCAACTATCTAGATTAGTTAATAAAGAATATATATATATATATATATATCATGAAATCATCACTTTACGTCATTGAGTATTATCAAGCGCATATAGCCTAAAAGCAATTTCAATATCAGAATACAAAATATTCAGTAGTGTGAAATATTCCCATATCATCAGTTGAAAGGTTTACGAGTTGACCACCGATTGATATCAGTTAGAGAAGCATTGAAAACCCTCATGGAGTATTGGACAGCTGGTCTGTCAGCCTAGTTTAGGAATCACCGGAATTAGGCTCCCATCAACAGGGTTCAAACCCGGGACCTTCCAGTTACGAGGCAAGTTCGTATACCATTCATCCACTGAGACCTGAATCCTCAATGGTCAGCCCGTGAATTCTAACTTCTACCAATTTGTGATTTAGCGCGGCCCCAACCAATCTCGTAGGCGGGACATACATCCTCACCCGTGACTGGATGAACCTCACTAGTGACCACTTCTCACTGGGACTCCAGGAAACTCTGTCCTGCAGTTTGCATTGTAACCGTAAGGTCCTGGGTTCGAACTCCGCCGCTGGATGCGTACTGCTAATGATTCCCCAAACTAGGATGAAACAGTACTCCAGTGCTGGGTTTCAATGGTTCTCTAACTGATATCAATCCGTGATCAACTCGTTATCAAAGATGACAGTTGAATGACTGATATTAAATGGTGTGTGTCAAAGAGCAGATAGTAAGACTACAATGAGAAGTCCACCATGAAATAACCAATGTGTGGCATGAAACAGGTGGAGGAAGGCATATATTAAGAAAAGAGATCATATCAGTAAAAATAAGGTTCTATAGTATAAATGGAAAATTCAATAGCATAGAGAGAATGCTAGAATGAATGGTATAAATTATAATCAATAATAATTACAGTAATAAATTATAATAAGCAAAGTAAAAGAGAAAAAAAGGAATATGAGGATGAACTTTTGGAGAGAAGAAAATTTAATCTAAGCTCCTGAATGTGATTATTTTCAATACAAAGTTCCGTTTCAAAAGATCTGATTATAACTACTTTACCTACATGTGGAAGATGTAGGCCAACTTTGCGTGATAATGACTTCGGAATGTGGTATATAACTCTCAAGGTTATATTGACGTCAATGCAATTGTGGTGAGAGCAGGCTGCTAGCCGATTGGTTGACACTAAGCTACGTTAATATGGGCCGTGAGAAAATATGAACAAGGCTGAGTCAACAACCAATCACAGCAAAGTTAACGTGGCAAAAAATGATTCGCAGATAGAGAACTCTATTTGTCAAGGAATCCCGAAACAACCAATCAGAAGCCTGCGTTTGGCTGCCTAACTTCTGATAAACAACCAATCAGA